AATTGCTGTTGACGTGAAAAAATCGCTTGTCTTTGCGACTATCGGACTAATCCACTTTAGATTTCAGTTCTCAAATATAGATAGGATTTTACAAATTTATCCCGGGGGAGAGGGAAGCCACGGTCTCTCGTCCGGTTACCAGTTCATGTCGGATTATAAGCCAGTTATTTGTTTAAGATGCATGGACTTGATGGTGGAGAAAGCCGTAACCGACCAGCGGTTACGTGAACCACCATACGGGAGGCGAAAAGTCCGGAAATCCTTTCGCAAATAATTATCAACCACGGGATTCGAACCTGCGAACCCAAGAAGGGTACTCATAGGTGCGGTGGCGAGCGTATTCCTGAAGCTCGGCACAATCACCCACACCGCCAAGTCAATGGTTAGATAAGAGTCTATTTCATTTACTTTTTTCAAATTTCATTCAGGCCCGATACTCCACCCAACTTTTGCTGTTTCATTTTAATTCATAGAAACACTTTTTATGACGTATGGAACACTTTATTTCTTCAAACTTGATCACGTTTTGGGTGTCTGAATCGAAAATTGATGAATCATAGTGAAGGTGTATTAAAGCGCTTTATGACGCGTAAATTAGATTATTTATGACATAATAAACGTATAATCGCCATAATAAAACACTCAATCGAAGTAAATTATCTGTTCAGCAGGGAAAGGTACGCTCGACTTTTATTTGTCCAGAGGCTTTGGAGGGTAAATAGGCACACGCCGCCATTTAGGATGCTTGAATGAGAAAATTAAATTAGTAAATTACACTTTCCGACCCTCGACGCGTCTGAAGAGCCACAAAAGCCTAATGTGGCATAAATCAGTTAAATCAATTGATTTAAGATGTAAATATTCCGTAATATACCAGGGTATCAATTTTGCTACGCACTTTGCCGATAGAAGGCCAATGATTTATTAAGTTAGCTTGACATTTATAGCCATATTTAAATCACAGTGTGTATGCGCAGAAATATATTTATTCGTTATGTAGTGAAAACTCAAGGTTGGTTTTACACGTCGTTTTGATAATACACACGCGTACGCCATGTAAAATATTCATTAGACTGTCAATGAATGAATGATTGTGAACTTCTGTCAGCGTGACGCAAAATCTGAATACAAATAATGATTCTCGTTTTTTATGAATGATAGGTGTAATATAAATATTTGCCATTCGGCTTGCGATTAGCACAGGATTTTTTCATATTCATCGCGGGAGTCAGAAATTCCACGATAGAAGAAGTCATAACTGACCTGCTGCTACGGGTACGATCGCACATTTGTGATTTACGTCAGCATTGGTCTTGACTCTTTTGCATGTATGGGGGACAATGGGTGACCGTCATTACCCCCGTATTATTATTATCATCATACATACGGTAGCGGAATATACTGTACACCCCAATCTGATCTGAGTTTAATGAGCACATAATAGATCGCAATGTCAAATGTTCTTATATTGAAAAGTTAAGAAAATCACATATTTTCATAGAATCCAACATGCTATTAATACAAAGGGGTTAAATACCATTAAAATCCATACGCAGATTCGCTACACCTGCATTCGTCTTCAACATTATTGTCAGCTTACCTATATTTTCACCATTGCGAGACGAATGAGCATACATACATTCAACAACTCACGATGGCGATAGGCACAACAATTAGGAGCGTGTCAAACTTTTCTGTTAGCCCCCGTTTGCAATAATGATGCCCCATATATCTAACTTCAAAAATATTTTGATGAGTAAAGAAATTGGCGCTCCAGAAGTATGTGTATCAATAAGGAGGTAACTAATTTTGTTCGCCTATTTTACATTAAGTTGGGTAGAGGGACTGAAACCTATGGGCAGGGGGTATATTCACTTGGCTAACACTGAAAGTCCCCGAGCTCGTACGGGAACTGAAATAGGGAAAATCGGAATAAAATTATGGTCTAACCCTTACCTGGTACACATACTACGGGAGTAGTAACAAATTATAGATGTTGTTATGAATGATAATAAATAATTTGAAGGTCAAGTAAGAGTGAAATGTTTGTATTTTTATTATTTAAATTATCAAACCCACCCCTATAACGTTGCATAGACAGACACGCTCCTACCAACAATCCTCCCGCACATAATCATACCGATATTGGATTCGAACATATTAATTCACGCGGGTAAAATAAGCGATGTAGATGATAAACGAGCAGTATGTTCCACAGCTGTTTATTTCAGGGATGGTGTTTTCAAATTCAGGGGGTGTGTATATTTTGTTAGTAGCGATAAAACTATAACTTATAAAATGTGTTATGTATTTGTCTGATCATCTGCACCGGCATTAGAGCCAATTTTTGAATATTCGAATACAATTTTGTGTGTGTTTGGAATTAAAGTATGGAGTCATATTCGAAATTTAGTGAGGTTGTTTGAAATTTTAGGAGGGAGGGGGGGTTCACCCTCTATTAGGGGGGATGCAGAAAAATACCTGTGAGCGAGTACCGAACTCTTATCAATCCAGATTTGTTTTGTGCGTTCCGTTCCTGCCTCCATGGTGGTACATTGAACAAATTCGCGGACTGGTTTGGTTGTAATTGCGCAACTATTGGCAATGTTCGTATATGCTATGATTACAACATAGTCGACCGACGCCCGGAACAGGCAATAAGAAGCTCAATAGTGGCACCATGCGACATAAGTATATTACAACGGAGGCGATATATTTAATATGATTTTCATACGCAGCGGTCGCCAAAGTTTTCGTTCGTGCGACGCCGAACTATCAGGTCAACAACTCACGGCGCGCTCATACGAAAATTGCTGCCAATTTTGTGATCGTTAGTGTATACTTTTTGTACGTATACGTTTTAAAGTTTGTAAACATTTGGCTTGAAGAATAAAGTCAATGTCAATTTTTTCCTCTGCCCTCGTTTATTTTGAAATACTAAAACAAGAAATCACTCATGTTCGCTAAACTCGGTTTAGAAGATAAATAGATTGCAGCTTGCGAAATTGCAACAAGTAGTGTTACGTAACAAACGAGGCAGACAGAACGTAATGAAAGTAAACTACTTGAAACGTAAAATGAATTTATTTATTCATATACATAGCATTTACAATGAAAAAAAAACAATACTACATTTATATTAAACACACTTAGTAAAATGTTCAATCATATATTACCGTGTTTCCACGAAAATATAACAGGGTCCGGGGCTAATTTTGAGAGGATGTCTTTTATTTTCATTACAAAGTAGAAAATTACGAGATTTTTCAAATACGGTATATAAATCGATAATTTAAAACGTGTAGGAGACATTCAGCTTTTTTTTTTATATGAACATGAGGCAAAAGTGTCAAATACCGATGTCCTCGTGTGTCTGCTGTCCTCATATTATCAGGCTAATGTTGACACTGGGGATTCCTAATGTAACTGTGGTAACATTTTGTGGTTATTTTAATGGACAGTTTTCTTATAAACCAGATCCTCCAAAAAAGTTCTCAGTACCCAAACTCGGTTGGCTGCGAGCTCTCGCCGGTCCACTGTCAGTTACCCGGACGATTTTAAGCCCAACCGTATTTTTCAGAACTACTATTGTGGAATTCCGTACCATAAATATTTATTCTCCCCTAACTCTCGGTACTTTACAGACGGCAGGTAACTTCATTCAGATATCAATCTACTATATTTCCATGCGAGTTTGACCTTGCTTTGAGCACATTTTCTTATAAAAATGTGGTATTTTGACAAATGCCGTGAATGCTAGCTGACGATTACCCATTCACCTGTCAATTTCAAAAATATTTAACCAGTTAGTGTTGGATAATCGCTGTGCATGGACTGATCGGAAATTATTACTGTAGGCTACTACTGTGGACAGCGATCGTACAGCCACCCACACTTCACAAAACAGTTATAGAATCCGGACTCGTCCAGCGAGCGCCGGGATTCAATTCTAAATTCTTGTTGAATCGTAACTACCAACTCATTCGAATTCTATAAACGTAATAATAATCAGTCATGGTGAAAAATCAACCTATACAACATTTGCGAGTACACAATACAAATCGACTGACGACATAAGTAAAATGACAACATGTAAACAAATATGCAGACTGATTGTGGTAATTGGTTCTGCAGTACGAACATAACATGCCATACCACGGCGCAGTTCAAAATAAATTATCTAGGAGAACATCATTTATTTACTACATTCTTTTCAGTTTATATAATTCCTCTTCCACATCGTCAATTTGGTCTTCAAGAGCTTTCTCCCCGTTAATCTTTTCGATCTGAGTATTTTCTAGCTTTTCCCCGTTTTGCAGTCTCTCCTTCAGCTTTGCAATTTGAGTTTGTTTCTTTTGTAGTTTTTTGAGTTGCTTCGAAAGATATTCAATTTTTACCGAAAGTGAAGCCGCGTTTGCGCGTTCTTGGTTGGCTTTCACCATTTTGTCATGCTCCTCTGAAGTATCCTCTTCTTTGCTGTCAATTACTGGAAGCTTTTTAGTAGTAGGAGACAAGATATGATCGAGTTCTTCTTTAGATACAGCTGATTTAACACCGGCCGCAGCGTCTTGAGAAATCCAAATTTGTTGACGAAGTAAACGAGTTTTTGCAACATCTCCACTTGCTTTCGCTTCTTCAAATTCGGCCTTCAACTTTTGCAGTACCTCCAAAGCTGTGTTTGCGATGTTTCCAGTGCGATTCTGGTCGACTTCTTTAAGTGCGTTTTCCCCATTTTGACGACGCTTTGCTGCCTTGCGCTGTTCCTTTCTTTTTGCACCCTTGCTCTTTGCACCTTCCTGGGTTGCACAGTCCATAGCGAGCGGACAACAGCGATATGTCCACAGCGCAAAACAACACAAATCGTACACGTAAACAAAGCTGACACACAGACGAAGAAATTTAAAAAATACTCCTCCGCGAGGAGACGCATGTGTGCAGACTATTGCGAAATAAAATTACTCTACCGTGACTTTTGATTGCCGGCTGCCTTCGCCAGCATTTTCTCAACAAGGGTATTATTTCCAGTCATCGACCTTTGGACGGTTGCGCCATGGAAATGTCGGGCGATTTTAACGCATACGGGAGGCGTTAACAAATTTCGCGAAGGTCAAAATCCACCGCACGAAAAATATTTCGCCATTCCGTCTTTAGGTTTTGTACGTGAAGGGTCTCCTGCTTTTAAGCTAAATCTCGTTTTCCTATTCACACGCGTTTTGTTTCCACGTGATTTGTGACCATGGGCGACGAAAGCGCGAATTCCAAAATAATAGATTTATGTGAAGGTAGTGAAGATGATAAATCGTTAAAAGACAAGCAAAAGGAATTCTCAATGGCAGACAAAAAGACAGAGCGAATGTCAGAAACAGTACGAAAGACTATTATTGGTGTTGTAATTGTGGTGCTCTTGGCAGTATCGTGGGTCGGAGCTCAGCAAACAGCGCAAACCGCTGTTCAGTGGGGCAATTTTGAAGCTCCTTACTTTACCACATGGTATGGAACTTGTTGGATGGTGCTTTGCTTCCCTGGTTATGCAATTTTCGTTATCATTTCTGAACGGGATAAAGCGAAGATCCTTCATGCTTTCAAGGAATCTACCCATATATTTGGCCCACAAAGCGTTACTATGGCACAATTTTTTAAAATTATATGGAGCCTAAATGCAATTTGGTTGGCCGTGAACTCACTTTATGTATTCGGACTCAAATTTATCTATGCAACCGATGCATCTGCAATCATGGCTTCAAATGTTGCGTTCGTGTACATGCTATCACTATGCCTACTTAAAGAAAAATTATACGCGATACGGATCATCGCATCTTTCTTATGCATCAGCGGTGTTGTACTTTTTGGTTACGCAAAAGGTTTTCAAGGAAGTGAACATCTTCTTCAAGGAGTTTTGATGATTATCGCATCCGCATTTGGTGCCGCAGTGTATAAAGTTGTATTCAAAAAAGTAGTGGGGAACGCTTCATTAGGACAGGTATCACTATTTTTAACACTACTGGGACTGAGTAATACGCTTCTGATGTGGACTGTAAGTGTATGCTTATATGTTGCAGAAGTTGAAAAATTTGGTTGGTCTGATATTCCATGGCAAGCTGTAAACCTATCAGCTCTACTCAGCCTTATTTTCAACTTTTTGGTGAACTTTGGCATTGCTTATACTTACCCACTGTTCATATCAATTGCAATGATGATTGGAATCCCGCTCAATGCTGGTGTAGATGTGATATTTCGACATGGAACATTCAGCGCTATACGACTTGTTGCCGCAGTGTTAGTATTTTCTGGATTTGCTATCATGCTTTTCCCTGATTCATGGAACGACCCAATTCATTCTATTCTGCAATGTAAGACTGAAAACCCTGAAGGAAAGGAAGAAGAAATGATCAAACTGAAAACTAACCGTGATGAGGAAGAGAAAGCAACTCAAGGATCTTCATCACCAGAGAAATCACCTTTATTTGTAACTGAAGAAATAGCTTAAATTTATAATTTTTTGCACAGCGCTTATTTAAGCCTTTGGCACCAAACAGGGCCCGCTACAAGCAGCTACTGGCATGTAAGGGGCTACAATAATTTGAAGTACCGTCAGTATTACCCATCCAAGTTATTGTACCCTGAGTAAGATGGTAGGATTGGCTTTTAAACCAAGATGTGTAAACTGCGATGCCAACGTGGTTAACATTAGCCCCCATGATGTGCTGAATATTTTTTATTCGACTTTGATATCCAAACATCACTTGACACAAACAAAAGAATTTTAATTTTATCTTGATACTTATATATTATTTAATATAATCAATGAAGCATAACTGGGCAGAATCAGCTCTGGCTCCGAATAGCATATCAAGCTACAAACAATTGCCCGTCCCCTGCCACACCCCTGCTAGGCCATCAGACTTCGGTGATCTTTGGTAGTTTCGCTACCTCCCAGTCTATATCAGATTAATTGCTATTTAATTTTTTATCATTTATATTTTGGTTGAAAAAAATAATAAATTTTCGGGGCTCCTGAAGTATGCGAACCAAGATGGCGGATATCGGAATGTAATATGTGTACTAGGTTAGGGTTAGGCCATAATTTTAGGTATAAATACTACGGGAGGCTCTTGGCTAGTCTTCGAACTGATAATAGGACTAAAATAAGGAAAATTGGAAAAAAATTATCGCCTAACCCATGTTACGTTCCGATGTCCGGCATCTTGGTTCGCATACTTCGGGAGCACCGAATTTTCTCTCTTCCTGAAGCATATATAGGTACACCACCCGACTACCCTACTGGGTGCCAGATATGCTCATGCCTCATTATTACTAAATTTTACCAAAATCTTATGAAAACACATAACACTCCGCACACATTTACCAGTCTAACTTATGTAGAATGCAATTTCATCTTGACTGTAGAACAGGGGTGTGCAACCTTTTTCGCAGGCGGGCCAAATATCAATAATTGGGTAAAATCTCGGGCCGCACCTTCATTTAACATAGGCTTTCTATTAATTGCAGGCACAAAATAGTTTCTTTTTGTTATTGATCTTATGTCGTCATCAGAGGGGTTCCTTGCAGAAAACGCATAAATATCTTAAAACTGTAATCCAAATATATTGTCACACCTAATTTAAACGAATTCGGTGAGAAATTTGCTGCTGGATTCTTTTCCCGACTACTTTTATCCAAATTTGCCTAAATGCAGTGTTAGCAATTCGATACGACGCCCATTTTAGAAAAAAAGTATGTAACCGAAAAGTGCCATATTTGAAGCCATGACTTTTTTCAAATTAAAAAAGTTATCTTAGTTGAGATGTTTTTGGTGTAATACGCCAAGATTCATTTCCAAATACTTTGCTGTCAAATATTATTCTAGATTAGATTTCAACAAAATCAACTGATAAGCTGGAACCAAAACTCATTTAGCTTTTGTATCTCTTAATATTACATTTTTTCGAACTGCTTTCCAGTTGCCTAATCTTCAATTGTCTGTTCTTACAAATTCATTAGCGTCTGCTTCGCATTTTTCTTTCAATAGTTTGCTGCTCGGCAAGCTTCCCTGTGAATCGCATTGTTCGCTTCGCTGTGAAGACGTTGTAAAGTAATAGCCATAGATAATAAATTGGACTCGAATATAAGCTTTGCAACGCGAAGGGAACCAGATCAAACTAAATTAAAAACTAATTTAGCTTGCCGCACACCATTCAAAATTGGCATTTCTCCACGGGCCGCACAATTTGTCCTCGCGGGCAGCATTTAGCCCGCGTGCCGCACTTTGCACACCCCTGCTTTAAAACATGAACCTTGACTAGCCAGAATCATATTATCTTAACCAGCCTGTGCCAATGATGCTAGTCATGCTTCTTTGCCTCTACAGCCGGGAGGAACTCTATAAATAACTAGCCTCGCCCTTTATCTTTTGTCGTATTTATTTATTAAATTATTGCTTTTAAATTATAGTAGAATTGTGATTGTATGCATCATTGAGTACAGCTTGCAACCAACACTTGATGCTGATAGTTTATATCTTCAAACTTTTTTCATCACGATCTACTTGGCACGGCCATATTTATATGCGTTGTGCTCCGAACAACGCCCTGCAGAAGCCAATGCTAGGAAAAAAGCCACTTCAGTTTGAAAAATCCCGGGAATCTTCCAAGTTTAGCATTGCCTACCCAGTGGTTCATGTTGACCGCTGGTCGGTTACGGCTTCCATCATCAAATCCATGTATCCGAAAACAAGTAACTGGCTAACTAATCCCATATCCGACTTGGACTGGTAAACGGACGAGAGGGCGAGGTTTGCCGTATGATCAAGCTGTCTTATCGGCTTTCCTATCCCCTGGGATAAATATGTGAATCCTATCCTTATCAATGTCTACTCAATTTATAACATAACACCATCAATTAGTGAATATTTCTTTGACTTCCGAATACTTGATTCGTATACATTCACATTGTGAAGTTTTTGACGCTTAGGGAATGATTTTCTTGTGTTCAAACTAGTTTACATCTTCAAAATCACCATGTTGTTCCAAAATAATTTAAAAGTGGCCAAATGACTTAGTTGTATTTTTTAGAATTCAAATACTCAAATTATAACTTTTATAGTGGAATTGTTTTTCTGAATATATATCCAGATTCCTACTTTGAAAATCTTTTGAATACACTATTTTTTTTGACACGAAAAATATATAAACTTTGTTTCAAAGTTGTAAAAATGAATTACACTATTGACACATTTCCTATTGCCTACAATCGACACAAATTTAAATTCTTCATCGGTGCATTTTTTGATAATACACTTTGTAACATACTATAGATCAGTGTTTCTCAAACAGTGGGGCGTAACCCACAAGGGGGCGTAAACAATTTTTTTTGAGGAGACGTGAAGCTAATTGATACATTCGTAAGATTTGGTCTTGCCTGCCTCATTTTGGATATTTACATTTCTTTATTGTTCAACAATTGCGATTTCATCCACACATTTAAACATGTTTTTTGAATAAAACATACTTTCGCCTTACTATCTATTATTTGTAGATTATTATTAGTTTTTTATTTTTGATGTGAGCGCCCACTGAAAAGGGGGCACGGCTTAAAAAGTTTGAGAACCACTGCTCCAAGATATTTCATGAAATTTTGCACGGTCATCTTTAAGTAATTATCTATTTTGTACTATTAGACAATAAGTTCTTTCATATTATTTATTGATGCTTTTTTACACAAAATGTTTTTTGATCATGATTTCAGTTTTATCAGCTTGTTCGGAGATTATTTTTATTGCGTTCGAAGGGGGAGGGGGGTATGCCCTTTTATTGATAGACGCAACAGAACTGAGGCACTTTTTGTTATTTTTGCCAAAACCCTTTTCAATAACATACCAGACTCAACAGCTGTAACATTTTGTTGTTATTGCTAAAACTTCAATACTACTCTAGACTGAAAGCATAGGGACACCCAGTTTACAAAGTAATAAGTTATTGCCCCCATCCTCCTCCCCATCAAAATGAGGTTTGACCCCCACCTTTCTCTGTTTATTCTAGTGAGTATTTATCAATGAGTTGAACGGAGAACGTAAGGCACTAACCCACGGGTGGGTAAATTATGGCGCGCGGGACGGATGCGGCCGACTGAAGTGATTAATCCGGCCAACTTGTGCCTGCTGAAAGTACCACTGGTTTTTATGGATATAAATTCCCGTTGAAATCGAAGTTATAATGACCTCAATTGTTACATTGTGCTTCTCATTATTATATAAACATTAGCCTAGATCTTGTAAATAAACTGTTTTTTATTCATAGTTTTTCATATTGAGTTTTGAGCCCAGTAAGCAATTCTATTATCTGTAACTGGCCCACTCAGATAAGTAATTGCCCACCACTGCACTAACCTAACTCATCCTAACTGGCCCAAGATAAAAAGAATTGAGTAGAAAAACAGGATAGCACCCATATTTCTTCTAACTAAAAGTTCAGTTCCATGGTCAAGTTCCAATTTGATGGAATTTAACTTTTTTGTATTGCTATACTAATACTGTATTTGGAATTTTTTTCGTATAGAGTTCAAAGATAATTAGAATAAGAAAATCATGGATAGGCGTATGGCTCGAAAGCTGGTTGTTGATGAAGCGCCAAACAGACTATTTTTAAAATATTTAGCTGAATGGCGAGATGAAGCCAAAGAAAAAGGCGATAAAAGTTCTTTTACTTACAATAAAGCATATAAAAGTCTAAAGAAATACCCGCTTCCATTACAATGCGGTGCTGAAGCGAAAATTCTCGAAAATTTCGGCGACAAAATTTGCAAAATGCTTGATGATCGACTCGCAAAAGATGCAGAAAATGATGGTTTAACGCCGGTAGAATTACTAGAAAAATCAAGAAAAGTTCCAGCATCATGGTGGGATAAGGTTAATAAAGAAGCACCAGTTGCGAAAAATAAACCAGCTAAGAGAAGGAAAAAAGCAGAGGAGAGCACTCAAGAAAAAAAGAAGCCAAAGACCAAAACAATAACTGAGATGTTCGGAGTGCAGGTAAAAGAAAAAGAGCTGGGTGTTTCCCAAGAATCTAGTAAAATAAATAACTTGAACAATAATAATGAACCAGGCGGTCCAAAAATAGGGGTCACGACCTCACCTTATAAAAGTCAGGAATTCATGACTTCCTCTCCTGTGTTCACACTTTCACCTGGAGAATTTGATATTGTGTTATGTGTTGATACGAGGGAAACGATGGGGGAATCAAGACGAAAAGAAATGGGGGTGGAGTTGAATAAACAAAATGTTTGTTACGAGCAACGTACACTTCATATCGGAGATTTTTTGTGGATCGCGCAAGAAAAACCGGCTCTTTGTGTCGGTAGAAAACCAAAAGAACTTGTTTTAAATTATATTATCGAACGAAAAATTTTATCTGATCTTTCAATGTCAATTAAAGATGGCCGCTTTCGAGAGCAGAAAATTCGTTTGAAACAATCTGGAATCGGGAATATTATCTATTTGATAGAAAACATGGGAAATATAGAAAATCAAAGCTTACCTGAGCAAACATTAAGACAAGCTATATATAACACCCAAATCGTTGATAACATATGTGTGAAATTTACAAAAAATGCGAAAGCGACAGTACGTTATCTCGATTTAATGACAAAACATCTACAACGCTCATACTTGACTTTTACACTTGAGGCACTAGAGATTTCTGATTCTCAAGGTGACTTTTCCCAACCTGAAACTAAGAAATTAACTCCTTTTAATGTATTCAACGAAATGGGTTCCAAGCGTAAAAAATTAACAATTAAAGAAATGTTTATACGTCAGTTGATGCAAATCCATGGTATGTCGTACGATAAAGCATCAGCGATTACAGCACTATATGAAACTCCGAATCAGTTGGTAGAAAAATATCGTAATTTACCTTCAGAGAAAGAGAAAGAAGAATTGATAAGTAAAGTTAAATTCGGATTGACTGAACGAAACCTCGGAATAGCCATGAGCCGGGTGGTGCACAAAGTTTATTCAACATAAAAGTTATTTAAAATAATCAAATTTTGCTTTTTTATTACCAAAGTTGTTGAATAATGATGAATAATGTTAAAACATATTTTTTAAAGTGCCCCTGGTACCATAATTGAATATATAAGAAGTATCACATCTATTTTGTTTTCGCCACAATTTCAAATGTATTTTTGCAAAATTGGGCTCTTGGGGAACCACGGGCCCCTGGTTGGGAGGGATTTTTTAACCCACATTTTCAGAACTTGAAAAAGTCTGTTTCGAAGAATGAGAAAAACAAATATATTTGATTGATAACTTCTGTCTCCTGCAATTTATCATTGAAATTTTTGGTGAAAATCACTTGAAATTATGATTAGAAAACTAATTCAAAAAGTATTTATTTCTTAGTAATTTTCAAAATTTCAACATTTGCTCTTTTGTTATGGAATGCATCGATTTATTTTCAGTATCATGTGACGTAGAGACTCTTGCACACAACTATCAAAGTAAACATGCAGGAAATGATATCACTCTGACTGATTGATTCCTTTGCTTATGCTCTGGCAATTTCAAAACAACACAGATTTATATTGTGTTTTGTCTAAGCACATGTTTGCAATAGGGTTTGAAATTTATTCCAATCCTCTTCCTCAATAAACATGAAACAATTGTGTAGTGTCCATGTCTGATATGGTCTTATTATTATAGGTATTTGTCTGTATGTATGTCTGTCTGTGTGTCTGTTAGATGAATGCGATATCTCGCGAATGCGAGGTTGAATCTGCTCCAAATTTTGCATGTGCATACATCATATCTCGGACCAGAAGCCCATTGATTTTGGGTTCATTATGTCGTATATTTAGCGAGTTATTAATCAATTAGTGATGGGACACACGGTGTCACTATGGAGTAAGAGCGCTGTTTCGAGGGATCCCCTAACTTTCAATCGATAAGTCTTCGGTCTCTGACCGATATTCTCGGTTAAATAGTTATTCATTTCAGATACAAGAACTTGATGGCGGAGGAAGTTATAAGCGACCAGCGGTTACTGGTATCTGAACCCCTATGCTTTGCGGAGTAGTCCAGCAATCACCTCGCACATAATTATCCCGCATGGTATTCGAACCTGCGAACCCATACAGGTCGACCAAAAATGTTCCCAACGCTTCCCTTTTTTTCACGCTTACTTAGTGTGTTTTACACAACTTGCCTTTCAATACACAATATATTAATTCTGCCATTTTTTATGTATTCATGTCAGTGCACGCTTTTCTTTTGAAATAAGCACACTCCTTTATTGAGAGTTCTTCAGCTCAGTTATCGCTGTCTCTTGAAATGTGCCTATCACAAACTTCAAAAAACTGTATTATTGAATCCTATTTACCTCAAGAATTATCGCTGCTATGTTTTGCTTTCTGCATGCCTATCTTCTCCTCGAAATGGCATATGTACTTTAATCATTCTGTTTATAAAGTGTATTTTTTGTATGATAAAAAAACAAACTTTTCTTCTGGATTATCCATTTTTCTAATCTGGTTAAAGACCTGACTTTTGTCGTGATTATTATATCTTACCAAATACATTGCACATTTCCTTATCTTTATTCTCAGATTAGTTGACAAAAGTTCCATGAATTGAATATAAAATGTCCCTTTTTTCAGGAATATATTTATCACATTTGTTACTTCATTGTATGCATTTTCAGGTTTAGTTTCACAAAAAAGAATGGAAAATTTCAATAAAAATTACCATAAGTTTGAGCATCAAATGCCTAAAGTCATTGTATTTGATTTGGATTATACTCTTTGGCCTCTATGGGTTGATACTCATGTTGATCTGCCGTTCAAAAAACTAAAAAATGGAGACATTGTAGACAAATATGAAACTGTGGTTAATCTTTACGAAGATGTTCCCCAAATTTTGGAAACGCTCCAACAAAAAGGCATAACGATGGCAGCTGCTTCTAGAACACCAGCTATTGACGTAGCTGAAAGTCTTCTAGATATTATGGATCTTAATAAATATTTCAGTGCAAAAGAAATATACCCAGGGAGCAAAGTTGCTCATTTTTTAGAATTTAAGGAATCTCTCGATATTGATTACAACCATATGCTCTTCTTTGATGATGAGGAACGAAATATTGAAGATCTTTTAAAACTTGGAGTGACAGCAGTGCATGTTCCTGATGGAATGTCCTGGGAGATTTTAAATATTGGAATGGAAATGTTTTCTCAAAATAGTTAATATTGGGAGGTTTGAGAATTTGACTCGACTCAATTCATCGTTCATCAAAACCTGATTCATCCTAAACAGGAGGATTTGAACTTTTGGGAATTAAACAGCAATAAATAGAACTTCATGTTGATTGGCTAGACTCAAGACTCTGACAACCTACCTGAAATCTTTCAATACTCTTGAAGACTTATTGTTTGTGTACCTCAACCCAGCATTAGACTGCTCGAGTTAAAAACATATTTTTCTGTATGAGATAACTGCCTGTTTTTCTCTCTCATTGGATAAATATGGTATCCTATTCCATTTCCCTGAGGTATGGTTTTTAAAATTGAAATGTTTGTAGATTCTTACACATGTTGTTTCAAACCATACTTTAATACTAAGTCTACAGAATGTGATTGCCATTGCTCTTTTCAAGTCTCTAATATACAGAAGGTTTACAAATCCATTACAATTAAGTCAATCAATCAAATCGTTTACTATTAGCCATCTCGGCAAAGCATAACAAAATTAAAAACAAGTAAGATCACAAAAATATTTGTACAGGATGGCAGGATAACCGCGAGACGACCATTTGGTCTACTTGTCAGCGGCAACCTTAAAATAGCTTAAAACTTAAATACAAAATTTGCAAAGCGCGAAACGTTTTTATGCGAGAACAGCATCGCCCCAAGATGACGCTGCAAGGCAATACCACACCATGTTATTCCCTAATTCTATAAATAACAAGGTGTGTTGTTGCCTTGCAGCGTCATCTTGGGGCGATGCTGTTCTCGCATAAAAGCGTGTCGCGCGTTGCAAATTTCAGTTTTAAGGGAAAAAATTGTGCTGTGCTTATGCAACTAATGATCGATATAAGGCGTATTGAGGCAACAAACTCGATTAAACACTTATTAGAATAAATCTGGTTGGGATATATTGAGAACTGACCTCATAACAAAGCATTCTGTATAAAGATGTGCCACTCTCCATTGTGAATTCAATGCCTGGCCAGGATGATTCTTTTAGGTCATTGGCTCTCAAACTTTTTAATCCGCACCCCCCTTTTAGAATTTGTCAAATCTCGCGCCCCCACTCATAATTAACTAGCTAACAATAAGTAAGGCAATAGTTTTTTTTTTTTAATCAGCTTCACACCCCTCAAAAAATTTACGCCACCCTTGTGGGGCGCTCCACACCTTTGAGTACCACTGTTTTAGATTGGACTGTTACTATTTTACCTCTATCTAAATTGACTTCAACTTAAACCACTGTGTATGTAGTCTTAAAATGTATATTTTCTTTTACATATGTGTAGTATATTTAATGCCAGCTTTTCTTCTAAATCACATTTTAGATGATAATACTTTAATTTGTTTTACTTGTAGAAATGATTTCAGATAAAAATAAGAAATTAAGACAAAAGAAGCCAAAACCTTTGGTAAGGCTTAAAATTAAATTAAAACATAGTAACATAGCCAGTATACTGCATGATTGCCACCAGGTAAACTCATGTTGATAATAAATGAAGCACAACCGGTGTTAGCAAAACGCAAATTACATCGTTTTGCTAACAACGGTTGTGCTTCATTTATTATCAACATAGCCAGTATACCATGTTTTATCGCAAAAAAAAGCCAGGGAAATATACACCTGACTTGAAGCTATTTCAAAAATGACTTCTGTTCTGGATTTCAGAAAATTGTGTCTACAGTTAACTGAAGTTTTGACTCTATATTCCAGTTTGGAATTCTGAGAAGCTAATTATCTGGCTTATGTGGACCTTATTAATTGTCAGTCGGGATGATTGCATATTTTATGATTTCATTGTTGTTTTCATGAAGCTTCTACCCTCAGCTCTTAAAAAATTCCAAATTATTACTGTAAATTATTCTAGTGAGTTCTAAATACAAGTCTGCCTTCAATGCCAATAGAAACTAAATTCCAAATCCACAGCTTTGGTTTTCTTCTATTTATTTTATCTTTCCAGCTTTGGGAATCATTGACAATTCAATTCACAAATCTTCAAGGACAGAGCGAACTTGAAAAGGATTTACCAAAGAAATGGGAAAAACATGGAGATTTGATTTTGCTTCCTCAAAATTGCTTTACAAATCCGGAGTGGCACGAAATAAGTGAGTTGGTGCATTTATACCATATTAGGTAAAGTATACAATTGATGTAGCACATAGCTTTGAGTTTTCGCCCCCCCCCAAGGCCCATGAGGTGGTTATATGGGGATTGCTAAGCAAAGGGTATCATTCGTGATAACTATCAATTTAAAGCAAATTGACTGCCATTTATTTAATTCTTTGATTGCAATTTCTTGTTTTTGACGCTTCAAAAGTATGTGTACCAATATGGAGGTAACTAATTTTGTCCACCTACGTTAAATTAAGTTGTGTAAAGGGACTGAAACCTATGGGCAAGAGGTATATTCACTTGACTAACACAGATTGTCCGCAAACTCATAATACAGCTAAAATGAGGAAAATCAGAATAAAATTATGGCCTAACCCTAACCTGGTACACATACTACTGTAGAACCGATTTTTTTTTATTAAAGTGTAATGACTGTCGAGTCTTTGGAAGGGGGCCATTGAACATGAAAATTTGACCCATTTAACGTATATTATAGTTTTTAGTTGCTGTATCTTTAGTATACTAATAATATATTATCAGGAAGGTTGAATTTCATTCATACTATGTCCACCTTAAACCAGTTTTCTGTTTATAATAAGCTTTTATAATGTTTTTTTTTCAGATAAACAAGCACTTTGGGAAGCTGTTGCAAAATACTTTGGTGTTGAAAGAATTGCCAAGAAAGACAGAATTTGCAGTGATGGACATAGAACACCTCAAGTATCTTTATTGAAAGGAGAAGATCCCTGGGTTTGCCATGTTGATAATAAGATCAGGTTATTTCATTTATATTTTCACAATTTTGCTTTATGTTGAAGCACTATCTTAGCGGAGAATTAGAATTTAAATAAGACCGTTTTTTTCACTTTACGAAACAATGGCTTGTCATCTGGTTACTAACTGGTCCATGTTGGGTATGGGAATAGGGATTTGTTTCAGGCGTGTGAACTGGTGGTCTGGCTGGCAGCTACGTAAAAAAACTACGATGGCGAGTAGTCCAGCAATCTTCTCGCATATAATTATCGCCCACAGGGTTTAATGGTATTCAGAAGCTCGGTGACAAACATGTTCTTGATTGTTATGTGCTATTTCTTTAGATATTCATATGATGTGACGAAATGTATGTTTTCAATTGGAAACATCACAGAAAAAATGAGAATGGCTAAGCTGGACTGCAAGGATGAGACGATAGTGGATATGTTTGCTGGTGAGTTGGGTGTAAATTTTGAGTGCTATTCTTCCCTACCACTAAATTTCTAATTTTCATTTGATGTTTATCATTAGATTAGTTTGATAATATATATAAGGTCAGGGCTTCTACCTTATCCTAGCCCAGCGGTTCTCGGACTTTTTGTCCGTGCGGCGCCAAATTATCTTGGAAAAAAAACTTATGCCGCACTTACAAGGAAAATAAATGCTGCTTTTAAATAAAACTCAATTATGTGATTGTCAATGTGTACTTTATATGGTTCCATTACATTTGAACCCACGTACATTTGAACCCATGACAATTGCACCTGTATGCTATTGCACCTATGGAATTTTTTTTGTTTCACGGATAGTTAAACCCATACTAACCCTAACCCATGGGTTTTAGCACCCGCATATAGATTGAACCCGTGGATATACGCATGGGTTCAAATGTACGGTCACCACTTTATATATAAGCAAATCAGAAAAATAGTTGTGTGGCGATTATTACAGTTATCTTAGTGATGTCTGCACATGATGTACTACAGCAGGGCTACTCAACTGGCGGACCGCGGTCTGCATTCGGACCTTTTGAGTATTGGATTCGGACCGCACCTCATTCTTTATTTTGAATAATTAGCCCCACTTTTTAAGTCTCCTTTTATAAAATGACTTTTACAGTTTTGAATATATATGAAAAGAACTATAACGCCACAATAAACAATCCTGATTAGCCAATAATCATTAGCTGGCTGAGGAAGTGCGCCTTTGAGGATGCCGAAATATAATTTCTGGAAAGACCGGACCCAAAATAATTTAGTATGCGGATCTTCGGTAAAAATAGTTGAGAAGCCCTGTACTACAACATTATTTTCATTGTCATAATTCCATGTCATTTCAGTAACTCTTGATATTTCAGTGTTCACCTTTTCTCAGGAGTGAGTCAATTATTTCTATGTGAGCCTTGCTTTCAACAAATTTAAGGTGAGCAGATAACAAAGGTTTTGATTTTCATTTCCAGGTATCGGTTACTTCACACTCCCTTTGTTAGTCCATGGGAAAGCAAGATATGTACATGCATGTGAATGGAATGCAGACGCAATACAAGCTCTCAGGAAAAATCTGGTCGATAATAAAGTTGTGGAAAGATGTGCTGTGTATGAAGGAGACAATAGAAAGGTGGAATAGTTTTTTTTATATTTACTTCAATACCAGTGGTTTTCAACCCCTTTTGGGGCAGCGGAACCCCAATGAGACATTCCAGAGTCTTAAGAAAACCATGTGCAGTTGTTCATTTGTCTTACCATTCACGGTTGATAATGAAGTTGCAGAATATAGGCTATATGGAGGAGAATATAGAGAGGTGGTCATATGATATGAGTTTTGTCCTGGGGTTAAAGGGCTTCTACCCAATACTTGAGAAAAGCCGAATACAATGACTTTTCGTTGCTTCGAATTGGATAATTTAATAAATATTGAGAATCTTATTCTGGGGAGAGTAAAGTTGATAAGATAGTAAATCTGAACTCCCGAAGTGTGTGTACCAGGGTTAGGCCATAATTTCATTCCGATTTTAGTTCTATTACGAGTTTGGGGACTGTCTGTGTTAGTCAAGTGGATATACCCCCTGCCCATAGGTTTCAGTCCCTTTACACAACTTGATGTAAAATATGCGAACAAAATTAGTTACCTCCATATTGGTACACATACTTCTGGAGTGCCCATATTCAGAAATATTGATACTTATCCCTGGGGGAGAACGCAATCATAAGACCTAATCATGTGAACAAAAAGGTGGAGAGAAATAATAATTTCTTGTTTTAGGTTTGTCCAGAGAACATAGCTGATAGAGTTTTGTTGGGTCTTATACCAACAGCTATGGAAAGCATTAAAGCTGCCTGCAGAGCTCTGAAGATCGGTTCTGGAGGAATACTACATATCCATCAGAACGTAGAATCAAAAATAAATAAACAGAATGAATATGTTGCGATGGAGAACAATATATCATGCAATAAGTCCCATGTGTTGACTGAATGGATATTCTGGGCTAAAGAAACTGCCCAAATAGTTAAAAATACAATGCTAGAGATCTATAAAGAAAAAAGTTTAAAAGCGAATATTGAAACACAGATTATCCATATAGAGAAAGTGAAATCTTATGCTCCACATATCGACCATTTAGTGTTAGATTTGAAGGTTATTACTTATCGATCTTGATCGGTAAGTATGTTGATAGGTAATTTGTCGGTCTGTCTGATAGATGCACGCGATATCTCATGAGAGCGAGGTTGAATCTGCTCCAAATTTTGCATGTGCATTCATCATATCTTGAACCAGAAACCTATTGATTTTGGATGAATTATGTCGTATAATTAGCGAGTCATTAATTAATTAGTGATGGGACACGCGACACGGTGTCACTATACAATCATGAATCGAAACCACAGTTTCGATTGATAAGTCTTCGACCTCCGACCGATATTCTCGTTGTAACCTTGTTAAATAGCTGACAAATGACGTATATTCAATATGTCCGCGGTGCTTCATTTTTTATTAACTCTGATTGCACTACGGCTCTATGGCCATTGAGGTTTACCACTACCAATCCCAACAGCAGTAAAATAAATCACAAAACTTACATGGAGCTTAACCGGCATAAATTTCAGTGTCGTGTTCATTATAGTCTATAAAAGGAATACACCAATTTTTTCGTTAAATCATCGTCTTGAGTCTATTGTAAATTTTGTACTGGAATGTAGTATGTGTACCAAGTTAGGGTTAGGCCATAATTTTATTCCAGTTTTTTCTTATTTTAGTTTTATTACGAGTTCAGGGACTAGCTAAATGACTCCCATAGTATTTGTACTTAAAATTATGGCCTAACCTGGTACACATACTATGTTCTGGTGTCCGCCATCTTGGTTCACATACTTCAGGAGTACCGGAATTCGTTTTCGTTATCTGTTTAATCCTCAAAGGACTTTTAGCTAGTATTTCGTGCAATATGGCACTGGTTTTTGCTTGGGTATTGTAGTTTATAGGGCGCTCCCAAAGTATCTAACCAAGATGGCGCACAACCTGAACCCCAGCCCTAGTACACATACTATGTTCAGGTTGTGCGCCATCTTGGTGCACATACTTCTGGAGGTTCGTTTATAGTGCATAAATATATGTTACAATAACTATATATTACATGTTACATCTGTAGTTCCTCCCTGGTTAGTAAGTCAGTCCTGCTCTAGGCCATTGCATTTTCATTTTCAAGTATGGATGTAAACCAAACCCTATTTTGCACTTGTTTTACAGAAAATTTAAATCATAATTAAAAATAATCATGGGTAAAAGGCATCGTTTTAAAAAACAGAAACCTGTCGGATCGAATTCCAGTCGTGATAAGAATTTGAAGAATCCAGATGTCAGCATGAAACAAAGGATTCCAAGAACATTTACAGAAATGATGGAAATGAAGGTCAGCAGTAGGATGATTCTAAATTAGTTGTATTCGATATTTTAGGAATAACTTTATGCAAAGCGTTAAAACATTTGATTGTGAGAGGATTGCTGGACTCCTCGCCACCCTTCGATTACGGCTTTGATCAAGTCCATGCATCTGAACTGGCTAGTTGGTACTCATGTAGTATGTGTACCAGGTTAATATGTGCCCAGAGTTCGGAGACTGTCTATGTTAGCCAAGTGAAAACCCCCCTGTCCATAGGTTTTAGTTCCTTTACATAACTTGATGTAAAATAGGCGAACAAAATTAGTTACCTCCATATTGGTACACATACTTCTGGAGCGCAGAATAGTTAAATTGTAATTAAATCTAGTTGGGAGGTTGGGTATCACAGAAGATAACCTGAGCCATGATGGGAGTGTAAAAAACTAATAAAAACATGTAAAAATCCTTTTCTTTTTGACGTTCAGGAATTATATAAAGGAAGTGATCGCCAGATTAAAAAAAAATTAAAGGAAAGAGCAATGAAGGCTGCGAACCAAGAAGAAATGAAAAGGAAAGAAAATGCAGAAAGAAAACGTGGGGAGTCAAAATACAGGTGGAGTTGAAGTCAAAAACTAATCAGATATGTGATTTTTATACGAAGCTTCGTCCCCATTTTCGCTTTAAATATGGCAGCCACTGATATTTGAGGATCTGCTATATATAGGGTGTTAAAAAAGTTAAGCAAAATTAAGGTAAAATTTTTCATCATGGCAACGTTAAAAAGTAACTGTTAACCCTTTGTACTTTTTATATAAACAGTTGTTCCTCCCTGTTCAAACGTGCTAGAAATACCAATCAAGTATCTCTAAATGAATTACTAGACCTCTTTCCACGTGGCGCTGCCAAAGAGCGATATCGCTATTCTCCCTACCGTGGTGGGTTGGTTGTTGAATCAGAATTTTCGAAAATTTTTGTTCGAGAATTTTCAATCAAAGTTGGCGTAGTAAACAGATTAAAAAGCGTCAGTCGTGAAATATTTAAATGGCATTTCACCTTAATTCAATACTGGTAAAAGGTGTTCGTCAATAAATGTTTTGAGTAGCATTTCATCTTAACATAACTGGTTCCACATTGCCTATCCACCGGAACGCAGTATGTGTATCAGGTTAGGGTTAGGCCATAATTTCAGGTACAAATACTACAGGAGTCACTTGGCTAGTTCCGAAACTCGTACTAGAACTAAAATAAGGAAAATTGGAATAAAATTATGGTCTAACCCTAACCTGGTACACATACGTTCAGGTGTCCGCCATCTTGTTGCACTTACTACGGGAGCGCCGTAGATTCTGGTTAGACAGAGGATGTCCATAATGAATAGAGTAATCAATTTGAGGTCAATAATTGATTTTAAGGGATGATTTTATATGGAAATCCGTCATTTTTGAGCACTTTACATCTCATGGTGGACAAAAACTAGACTTCTAATATATAGGGTGTCCATGAAGTCTTTAAAAATTTAAAATTGCAAAGGAAATTTATCCCATACTGTATATTGTTTTGGCCTTCACAGATGTATTTAATGAAGTAAAAATACTTAAACAATTACTGATTAAAAGACAACAAACCTGGTTAAGATATATTAAGAACTGACTTCATAACAACATTGATGTTGTAAATAGACTTTATGGACACCCTGTATGAAAAATATAGAAACAGTGACCAAAGAGGATGCAGTTTGTCATATGATTAAAATGTCTGATCCACTTTGCTCTCCTCTGGGTTAAATTGGAAAATCCTAATTTCAGGCACATGCAACGTCTCGCTTCCGCAGTTGAAATGTCAATGGAGAAAGCAAAACAAGAAATTCAGGAATTTCCAGAAAAAGAAATTGACAAAAAAGAGAAACCACCCCCGCCAAAAAAAATAAAAACAAAAGAAAGACTTACCAAATTAAAAGAAAAAAAAAATCAAGCTTGGTTGAGTAAACTGGAAGAGAAAACGGAGAAAGATCGCTGGATAGACCACGTCGAGTTTGGTGAGGTTGTAATGCGCCCACCGACGATAACTTCCAAACCTCGAAAAGCCGGTGAAGTCAAGAAACCTGGCCAGCGAGATCTATTATTTTTAAAGAAGGGTTTTGGGACTTCAAAAGAATCGAATTTGTCTCTCGCAAGAACTAAAGCACTCAATGATGAGAGAGAAAGAGTTATTCAAGCGTATCGAGATATAAAAAGGACTAAAATGAATGTGGAGTCGAAATAAACATGAAAAATATGGCATTGACTGCTTCTTTGTTATATAAAAATGATGTACCAGGTTAAGGTTAGGCCATGATTTTTCTTTTTTTAGTTCTATTATGAGTTCGGGGACTGTCTGTGTTAATTTACCCCCTGTCCATAGGTTTCAGTCCCTTTATACAACTTGATGTAAAGTAGGCGAACAAAATTACGGTAGTTACCTCCGTGTTGGTGGTACACATACTTCTGGAGCACTCATTCAGAAATATAGGAGATTGATCTCCAAGCTAAGTTAGGGTCGACCGCTAAAGTGCTACAGAAGCTATAAGTCTAGACCAGGGGTTCCCGAGCTTTTTTCAGGACGACCCCAAAGACGACCTTCAAGTGTCCAGTGCGAGCCCAGGTCAATATAAATATTTTTCATGGAACTTAAAGCTTCTTTCACTGGACTTTTAAGATTGGCCATATGGTGGTATTAAGTAAAATAAGCTGAAACCAAACAGTGATGTCACAATCACCTTTTCTAGTGAAAAGCATGGAGCGATGCATATGGGCCTGTTTTACAGTGCCATGGTACAAACTGCTAAATTCAACATGGTTTGTCAAATCTTAGATGTTTTGTACATCCATCCTCGACCATATCGATCCCATGACCTGTTTGCGACCCCACCTACTTATCACCTCACCTAATTTGGGGTCGCGACCCCTGGTCTAGACACTAAATAAATATGATTGTTGAATTGAGCCACCAGTTCGCAACTAGTGGGCCATGGCCCACTGAAACATTTTCCAAATGGGCTGCAAATAGACAAATTAGGGTGCTCCTGAAGTATGCGAACATCGAAACATAGCATGAGTAACAGGTTAGGCCATAATTTTATTCCAATTTCCCTTATTTTAGTCCTACTATGAGTTCGAAGACTAGCCAAGTGCCTCTCGTAGTATTTGTACCTAAAATTATGGCCTAACCTAGTACACATATTACATTCCGATGCCATCTGCCATCTTGGTTCGCATACTTCAGGAGCCCCCAAATTAGTGTATTGTAGTAGCAATGGATGATGATGCTGTTCTTCCTAACAAGTGGTAATACTCATTTTAATTATTAGAATGGAAGTGTTTATGTTTACAATAAGAACTTTTTCTATAGTTTTCCCCTTCAACAGATTTTTTTTGCAACAAAAGTGGGCCACGAATGAAAAAAAGTTAAGAACAACTGAATCTTGATATCACTGAATTGATATTACGGATTATATATGGATTATTGAACATTGGAATACTGAAAAATGGAAACTACGTCGGATATTATGGATTACAATTTGGATAATAATGATTGTAAAATTTTTTTTTCCCATTATTTCTATGATTATTACTGTATCACATTTGTGAGCGTTTGAAAAAAAAAAAAAAAAAGAATTTAGCGTTGGCACGGTAAGTGTCATTGATGATACGATCAGGAAAACAGCTTCGCGTACCCGTGTTGAAGTCTAAGTTGCAAGACCAGAACTTTATTTTCCCAGGAACTGCCTTCTCATGCCTGTGGTGTGGGAATGGATTAAGGCAGGGGTTCTCAAACTTTTGGTGTTATGAATCCTGTGAAGAGATTGACTATTATCACCGATTTTGCCATGAATCAATTCCTTTTGTACTAGACTCGTCAATTGCAATCTATCATACAAAAGTACAGCTACTGTCGTAAATGAAGTGGGTTGTTAGTGAGATACTTGAAATGTAAGAAACTTCAGATAAATTTTGGTAATTTTTCTGCGAATGCACCAAGTAAAATATTCGTAAATTTATTGAATATGACAAAATTAATTCAGACATTTCTGCCTTGCTAACTTTGAGGGGAATCTTATGAAGACAAAAGTAAAATTTACGTTGCGCTAAATTCTGTACTAAAAAATACACTAGATTGAATCTAATTAAGTCCCTTTCCGAGTTTGATAAAATATCAGATACCCCCGGCCTTTCCCAAGTATAACTGTTCGAGACAGTGGTCGGGCCCACTTACGTCTGCCAAAGATACGACTATAGTTTTTATGGATATAAATATCCCTTAAAAATAACTTCATAATGACCTCGATTGTTATATTGCGCGTATAAATATTAGCCTAGGTTTCAAATAAGCTGCTAAAATAAACTTATTTACTCATAGTTATTGAGTTTTGAGAGGACCAGTTACCAAGTCTATATCTGTAACTGGCCCACCCATGGTCTAAGATCTTTCTTGAGTAAGCTATCCAAAATGCAAACAAACAAGAGTGTCATGGAACATTTATTGTTGCTACACCTTATTAAAACTCTATCCTGTTATCGCTACGCGACTAATTCTTTTCAACGAATGAATAACGTTGCGAGAGGAAAGTCCAGCAAATTCATGTATGGCCATGCTTTATGGAACAATAGTAAAAGATAAACCAGACAAATTTCATACATGGCCAAGCGCGATCGAATATTGCTTAAAACTGTAAAATCGTGCTGAATAACGTAGGATTTCCTATTTATAGTTTTTTTATTACAAAAATACAATAACGTTATCTAAGCTAGTATGTGGCGATAACAGAATATAATTTTTCAAAAATCAAATTATAAATATAAATCTATTTTGCCGGAAAATAATATTTGGCAGGGGTGAAAGGCATTTTCACAATTTTTGCTGGGTGAACTTTTTTCCTCACTTGAACTGAAAACAGTGTGCCTATTTTGGAACTCTCAGTTGGAACATAAGCCATTGCAATATTTTTCTGTAGAGTAGGTGATGGGCAACCACTAGTAACGCATCCAATTTCTGCGCCGTTGTTATCAAAAACAGAAGCACCGGATCTCGCAGTCGGGCCTTCATTGACGAGTCCGACCCTCCGTTTTTCCGGCTTCTTTTTAATCTGCTGCAATATAATTTCAGCACCAGGAAAATTTTTTTCTTTCCGTCTTCGTTTCCCAATACACCATGTTAAGCTTGCTTCAACTGGGGTTGTAGTTTCATCCATATCATTCCCATAAAGACAGAGCCCGGCTTCAAGACGTAAACTATCTCTTGCTCCAAGTCCGGCTAATTTTACATCCTCATTTTCGAGTAGCTTTTCTGTAACAGCAAAAGTTTTTTCTTTAGGTATAGATATTTCAAACCCATCTTCGCCAGTGTACCCGCATCTTGTTATACGGCAGTTATCAACGCCGAAAAGTTTGCCATAAAATCCTTTCATGAAATACATTTTACTCAAATCAAAATTGACACCATTTTGTAAAATCTTTGCTGCAAGAGGACCTTGTAAAGCAACAAGTCCATTATCAATATATTCAATACGAGCATCACCTTTGAAATCTGACAGAGCATTATTATATAACGCTGTAATTTTATCCCCACATCCTGCATTAGAAACGATATAGAGATGGTCATCATTGGTTACGTTGACGATGACATCATCAAGGATGCCCCCCTTGTCATTTGTAAAAAGGCTCAATGTTCCTGAATTGTTTTCTAACCCTTGAATGTCGCCAACGATTAGTGATTCAATAAATTTGATGCGATCTTTTCCGAAAATTTTTAACTTGCAGCATATGTGACACATCAAAAAGTGATGCTTCTCCCTCGTGTGGTGATGCGAAGCCACAAGTCCTAGATCCTTATATTGTACGGGCATTTGACCATCCAGCGAATCCAACCATTTTTCCGCCATTGTCTTTATGGAAAGTCATGCAAAAACAGTCTTTCTTAAGCTCCTTTTTGTTGATAATATTGAGCGGTCAAATTAAAAAGACCGAGATTGTGCCGTAAACTACATGGTTGAGAAACTACTTTCACAAAATCGCGATTCCGTTTCTTGGAACATTTTATTAAGTAATATACAATATTCTACATATTTGCTTAATAATATAGATCTAAAAGCATACAAAAGAAAATACTTTATAAAGAGCTTTATCTAATCCTATTAGATAGCAATATAAATAGTGCAAGTTACAAAAAACCATTGAAAAAAAAACTCAAAATACGGAACATTTTGATATAATTGTGTACTGGAAGAGTGATCGGTACAGTGTCCAGAAAATTCGCCACAGGGTCAGAAAATTTGGCAGCATAGGAAAATTCACCACAACAGTTAGGTTTATAGGGTAAGGGTATGCTTTCAAATAACGAATCTTTTTTAAATAAGAAGGTATTTTAAAAACTTAACTGTTTACAGGTAGACCCTTTCCAGTTGCTTGCTACGACAATTGATAAATAGTGCAGACGAAAGCAAACTCATTCAACACAATAAAATCGTTCGTGTTATTGTGATGTAAATGAAACATTATCTCTTCTCGTTGGCTAGGCACAAGGATTGTTTTGTCATAGAATGGGGGTTCGTCAAATATAATATTTTAGGATAGGGGATCCGTGGCCCAAAAAGTTTGGGAAACAGCGAAATAGGTAAAAATAAATAAGAAAAATCCAAGGCATTATGCTGCAGTGTTTGGAGTCAAATGCATAAGATGTAAGTACAGTGGTCGGAACTTGTGCAATCATTAATAAATAAAATGAACTAACTGCTATCAGGCATATGAAGAGCAAATGATGGTTTGCATAAGTATAACAGATTAAATAAGAAAAGGGCATTCCAGAAGTATGTGTGCTAACATGAAGGTAACTGCCATAATTTTGCTCGCCTACTTTACATCGAATTGTGTAAAGGGACTGAAACCTATGGGCAGGGGGTATATTCACTTGGCAAACATAGATGGGGAGAACTTGTAATGGAACTAAAAAAGGAAAATTGGAATAAAATTATGTCCTAACCTGGTACACATACTACAGGAGTACCAAGAAAAGTACCATATTTTCTGGATAAAAAGCAGATTTTCTGGACCCAAGATTTTTGATTTTCTAGTGTCAGTCTATACGCAACTCAACGTATTTTTGAACAAAACGAAAAACTAATTCATGGAAGAAAAGCCCTTCGGCAGGCGTATTATACCAAAAAAATGCCGTAAATGAGGAAAATAGAATCGAAAAAAAAAAGAGCGCACACATTGGTGCTTACCATACAGATAGAGAAAAAAGTACAATTTTTCTGCCCCGCTGTGATGTGGGAAAACCCTCATTTTTAATGCTGAAAACTGGCCTCAGCTTATTCACTAAATCAGCTTATTATCCAGAAAATATGGTATGGATTCGTTTTTGGATAGAATGATATACTCTCATATACATGATAAATCAATACAAGACAAGATCAAGCAAATATGTAAAATCCTATGAAAATAAAAAGTAGGCAGGTTTGACTTCTTGTGTTAGCAATTAACAAATAGGTATCAGGGGGATTGCTACTAAATCAGAGACCAATATGATACTATGATAAATAGCAAAGAAGGCTGTCATTCAAACAAAAAGCCATTTTTTCGAATTCAATCTTCTTTAACGAATCCTTTTTGGCTTTCTCAAGCTGTAGCACTGAAAACAAAAGTAAAAATAAATATTGTCGCTCGCAGGCCAAAACTAAAGGTTGCAAGTCATTGGCGGGCCGCACATATTTCATGTCATTTGTCTAAATTATAATTAAATTAACGAGTAATTGTGAATTGTATACTTGTTACGTTATAATATAATTTAGTCTACACATAAATTCTTTTGCGTAAAGAATATAATCGACAGAACGGCTATAATTTGTTACTATAATTCAGTTAAGCGTCGCGGGCCGTAGGGTGCCGACCCCTGCTCTATGCAATAGCTTCTGGTAATTTATATTCTACTTATTGCATATTTTGGTTTTCTGAACTGTTTACTGGCAACAGTAATTTATTTGCTTAGTCATACTTGGCTTGGTTTTATTAGAGTCATGGTTTGTTGGTGGCTATCATTTCAGTGCGTACTGCTTTAAGGTGCTGGATTTGTTTGTGAAGTAATCCACTTAGTTTAATTTCCTTTTATTTTCCGAATTGTATAAACTATAAATATATTGCTAGAACCAAATCCAAAATTGGCAAAACAAAATAAAATCCAAAATAGCAGCAGGGAAATATATAGAAAATGGCCATAAACCATAAACTAACAGTCTACAGCTACTGACCCATTTCCGAGCACCACTAAAACTGTGTACCAATGGCCGTCCTCTTTGGTCTCCTGTTCTTCAAGATATTTGATGTTTGCGATAGCAATTTTGAACTTTTCTGAATGATTCTCTGCTAGTTTGTTCAGAGCACCTTCGAGATCCCCCGCACAAATATGCCATGGAGCCATGGAGGAGAGTTTGATTGTTTGAAGTACAGTTAGAATCTTCTCCACTGAAAATAAATAAATATTGACTCCCATTTTGCCAAAATTCACATTTTTGAAAAATATCTGAGTGAATTATGTTTCACTAGTATGAGAAAGTGATGGTGACATTGGCAATAAACATCCGCAAGAAGCATAATAAAACGACAACGAACAATACAACTCAGGGCTACTCAAATATTTTCATCAAAGGTCCGTACTCGAAATTTAAAAATTACCGGCGTCCTGTCATTCCAAGAATATTTTTTTTAGCTATGGAACAAAATTACAAATGCATCGTTTGATAAAATACAGTAGCGAGGCTTAATATCACGCTTCAGTGTCTGTATCTTCAGTTGTGAAGCAGAGCGTGTGAAATATATACCGTATATGGAATATTTATAAGCTACAAAAACAAGCTAATGTTTACCACCTTGTCTAATAATCCGCGAAAAATATATCCAACCGCTAAAACTTTTTTTTATGTCGGAATTGACATCTTCTTGATCAGTCACAAAAGCTCTAGGAAACTTATATTACAATGACAATTTTTCCACAGTCGTTTAGCAGAAAAAGGCATTACATCACGATTGTGAAATAAAAAGCATTCGAAGTCAAGAAGCAGCTTCGATCCAAATTTAGCACTCGAAAGGTGCGGAAAGGTTCGCCAGTTGGATAGCCCTGCTCAAACTTACTCATCTCATCAATACTCTTCCATTGGGGTGTTTCGCAACGCAACATTCTTGTGATTTCATCGAAATATGATTTTAGTTCTTCGTTTTCCGGTCTGATTTTTCCTATAACTAAAAGAAGAGCACAAAATTTTAGAAATATTGAGATTGAATAAAATTAGTAGGCTTTGAAATATGGGTGAATAAATCTTTTTTTTAATAAAATTAATATACCCTGGCAATCCTATTATAACTGTAACACCATGGTGCAGTGATTGTACCCAATTACGTTGATGTCACGGCACAAATATTTCGGAATATTGCAAAGTTATCTTAGTCATATTTATCAGTTCCAAGCTGAGAGTAATCTGTTTTCATTCCTTCGAGTCAGGATTTTTGTAAAGAGGTGAGATTCGCTCGTGCCACAGCTCTGGTTTTTCCATATCCTCAAAATTTACGATACTCCCGAAGTATGTGATTTAGGATGGTGGACACCGGAACGTAGTATATGTACCAGGTTAAGGTTAGGCCATAATTTCAGGTACAAATACTACAGGAGTCACTTGGCTAGTCCCGGAACTCGATATAGGAAAAATTGGAATGAAATTATGGCCAAGGATTGTAATCCACTGATATTCAAATGATATTAATATAAAATATCATACCTTTGGATAATAATACAGATAACGCCCGACTTTGTAGCTTCTTTGAAACCCATTCAGAAATCCTTAAATCCAATATTCCACTGTTTCTGAAATCATCACCTAAAATGACAAAAATTAACTAGAGTGTGCACACATGTCTAAACCATTAAATTTAGCTATGATAATGCAAAGATAAAAAAAAAGATTGTTGTTTTCCTATGTAAACAGCTTGTAAGAAGAAATCTGACTTTTGTGAGACAAATGTTACAGATAGATTTACAGTCAATAAGACGGCTTAACCATATGGCGAACCACGGCCTCTCATCCAGTTACCATTCCATGTAGTTAGGTATTTGACTTTACAGAAATAAAACACTTGTGAGAGCGTGATACACGCAATATAGCTGTTTTGATCCTTGCCGTAGGCATTGTATTCTTACAGTCAATGCATACTAATCCACTATTCATATATATCAATCATATATGCTCAGTTTGAAATTTTCGGAAAACTAAAAAAATCCAAATGCGCACAAAATTTACGCAGGAGTTTTTTATTATAATCGCCTAGTGTTTTTGTAAGCGTTACGTGATTATTTATTTATTATTTATTCTACATCATCTTTATATCGGTTACGTGAATTTTGTAAAACAAAGTACATCCTTTGTGTGCGACGAACCCACGATAATCAGTTTTTCTCGCAGTACCGTGCCTTCGGTGAGAAAAAACGTGTTACTACACGAGCCTTGGCGATTCAAAGGTTATAAATGTAGTTAATACGCAACCCGAGTTAATCAGTTTTTCTCGCAGTACTGTGCATTCCGTGAGAGAAACGTGTTACAACGCGAGCCTCGGCGATTCGAAGGTAATAAATGTAGTTAATACGCAACCCGATCTGACTGTCAATCAACAAATGTTAATTTAAATTGTAACGAAAACATGATCCTATTTGGAAAAAAAATAATTGATGATAGTTAAAGAATTTACTAGTAAAATCATGGGATTATTATGTTAGTGAGGTTACGTAGCAAAGCGGTAGAATCGGATAAATGTCACGAAACAGCCTATAATCGAGACATTCACGACCGAATTAAAATCGGACATGATCGTCTAACATAACGCGCCTATAAATTAGGAGTTACACGCAATCGCGCATTGAAGTATAATGCAATTACTATGGCACGGCATTTTGCAGTTATAAATTATACTTTCGATGCCGCATCATTATAAGAAACATGTTTTATCAAGTTACATTAAACCATTTGTGACGCGTAAAGCATCATCAGCAGTATCAGCATAAAATATTTTATTATGTTCGGTATGTTGTGTGTTTATGTGGTATTGTTTGGATGTCCGTGATTTCCATGGGTTTTATACACTATTTACTTGTTCTTGTTTAGTATGTTTTTTTATTCAGATATCTACATTAACGTTTCAAATGTCTTCATAAAAAATATATGTTATTCGCAACCGATAAATCAATACGAGCTAAAAGTAGCATTTACCGAGTACCGTAATCGCGGCGGTTGTTAAAAAAGGGGGTTGCTGTTAAGACGACAAAATTAATTTTTGAGTACATCTCAAATTTGTCGAATTCGCGAAATAACAATATACAATCGGACAGTTTACACATTTTCATGTCCGCGGAATTGGTGTTGTTTTAGTTAGAGCGGCTCTTGTTTTGTCGACTCAACCGCAGGTTAAATTGAAGACAATTAAATTAATAAAGCAGGACATTTCAAATATGCCCTTATCGGTCATAGGTTGATTACTTTGCACAACAGAAAATTCAATTTTCATTTAAAAAGTCGGCCCTTTTAACAAGTGGCGCAATCGCGGCGGTAAATTTGTATTTTTGATTTACTAGTATGCTTTATATCTATTTTCATTGTTATGAAGTAAAATTGTACTAAACGTGATTTTATATCAGATATCGAGACTTTACTAAAGGCGATAACGAGGTCGCAAGATTGCAAAAATACGTATCAAAATTAAATACATCAGACAGCTGGTCTCATATATTTATGTTCACAGATCACCGTGATATTTTACTGCAGTAATGTTTCTATTTTCACGTAAGAAGTCGCAACCGCGAGTTAAGTTGGACACAATTAAATTAATATTATAAGGACATTTAGAATCTCGTAGTTGGCATTAATTTAATATTTTAGGCAACAGGAAATTCATAATACGCTGAAAAGGCGGCTCGATTAACGAGCGCGTGGTGACTGTTACAGACGATACTGGAAATTTTCGATTTTGAAACCCCCCCCCCTTTGAAAATCCTGGCTGCGCGCCTGTATATGCTTATCATTATTTTTATATATTTTTAATTAATAAAAGGAGAATAGTATATCTGACTATCATACGCTAATCCCTTGAAAAACATATTATCGATAAATTTGACCACAGTAATTATTGATAATGTTTGAATCCCAAATCAGATATAACAGAATCAGACTTACCTTCAGGCACTGACTTATCTAATTCAGGCACATTTGTATTCCAGTCAGTAGCAGCCCTACTAAGTTTTGTCAATATACTGATCTGCTTCAAAGCATGATCTTGAATAAAAAAAATACGATTAGGATGGGATTTGGTGGCTCAGACATGAAAAGGGATTCAAAAAAAAATATAAAAAAATCAAGGATTATTTCTCGAGCAAAATTATTTACTTTCATTTACACAATGAAGTGATATAATCAATAAATTTAAACTACAGAGCTACCGGTTGGTAGGATAGGATTTTTTTATTTATCTTTAGGTCGGGAGGGAGAGGAAAGCTGATCATATGGCTTGATCAGAGTCTCTCAAGTATCAGTCTTTCGTACGGTTAACAGTCTATGTGAGGTATGGGATTAGTTAGCCAGTTATTTGTTTCAGATGCATGAACTTGGCAGAGTAAGTCGCACCGTAAGCGAAGCATTTAATGTAAAGTGTACTCACAAAGCTCAGTCATTGCATCCACATTCCACAAATAGAAATTATTGTCCAGAAATTGACCAGATTGGAATATTTTCATGATGTGATTTCCGGAAAGACATTGGGCTTGATCCTCTTGTTTTCCCTCAACAAAGTCGTTGAATAACTCAATTATTTTGCCTCGAACTTTCTGAAACTCCATATCCCCATAATTGGGAAATTTTTCATTCACCAATTTGAAAGCCAATGCCCATGCAATAAACACAGCGATGAACCTATGTAAGTAAGTACAATAATTAGACTAGTTCAATGGTTCTGTTGCAACCAGGGATGGGGAATTTGAATTGAGTATTCGAATATCGGAATTAACGTTTATTAGAATATGGGATTTTTGTGTGACATCACATTTGCCACGCCGCTTTTGAAACGTGTTCTTCAAATGAAAACTTTGTCGATAAAAATTGTATCTCGTATAGTACAATTTTATGTCATACATTGAAAATACTTATATAGAATACTAGTAAATCAAAATACAAATTCACGGCCTCGAAATTCACGCCGAACAGTCGCCGCGATTATGCCACTCGTTGAAAGAGACGACTTTTTGAACGAAAAATGATTTTTCTCTTGTGCAAGGTAATCTATCAATGACCGATACGGGCATATTCAAAATGTCTTGCTTTATTAATTTTTTTGTCTTCAATTTAACCTGCGGTTGCGT